TAGAGTAATCTTCATTGTAGATCCTTTCTGTTCATCACTTTGAATATTTCTTGTCATTCTCTTCTGGCTGGCAAAGTTTCTATTGAGAAATCAGCTGACAGTCATATGGGCACTCCCTTGTAGGTAACTAAATGCTTTTCTCTTGCTGCTTTTTAGATTCTCTTTGTCTGTAACCTTTCACATTTTAATTATGAATTGTCGTGGTGTGGGCCTCTTTGGGTTCCTCTTGTTTGAGACTCTCTGTGCTTCTTGGACTTGTATGTCTGTTTCCTTCACCAGGTAAGAGAAGTTTTCTGTCACTCTTTTAGATTTTCAATATCTTACTCCTTATGGCACCCCCCCTTATGCAAATGTTGGTGCTTAAAGTTGCTCCTTACACTATCCTCATTTTCTTAAATTCTTTTTTTTTTTTCTTTCTGTTCTGATTGGTTGTTTTTTGCTTTCTTATCTTCCAAATTGCTGGTTTGACCTTCTGTTTCTCTACTCTACTGTTGATTCTCTATAATGCGTTCTTCACTTCCGTTATTATACTCTGCAACCCAAACTTTTTGGAATGGAGCAGAGGAATCTGCATTTTTATGCATCTCGAGGCTGCTTTTTCTATGATGTAAGTTATGGAAGCAAGAAGCTTCATCACATAGACTGCTGCTAATTATGATGTAAGGTATGATGCTCACATGATTTCCACCTGTTTCCAATCCGCCAGCAGGACAGCCACGGGAGGGGAGGAGCAGCTGCCACTCACTTCACCACGAGCCTGAAACCCCCGCCCTCGAAGGCTCAGCTGATACTTCCAGGGAAACACTGGCAGAGTGAGTCCTTTCTGATCTTTAATTCCATCCCCTCTCCCCCATTTGTCTGTTTCCTTTGATAATAGGATGGCTCATTTCACAGTCACTTATTCCCCTTTCTCTTCCCTGAACCTGATCTCAGTGACAGCTGCCACTTTTTTGCTTGGCCTGGCCACCACCTCCTCTCAGCCTGGCTGCTGCCGTGGGGGAGGAGACCAGAAACCGGAACAAAGCAGAAGCAGAGGCACCTGTGACCTCAGGCACCTGGGGGGTGACTTCGTTCTGTGCAATCATAGCACAAGGCACGAATCTCTCCTGCGCTTGTCCTGAGCTGCCCCATACATAGCCTGGCACAAACCTAAATATGTAACTGTGATCGGTAAGTGCAGCTGCAGAGTCAGTGTTCAATAACAGGGTCTGAATGCAGGAGCAGCCACAGAGAAACACAGGGCAACTCCCTGTCTTTTGTGTTCCAGATGGCTCCCTGTGTCTCTCTCTTGCTGCCCTTCTTTCTACACAAATCTTCCTGCCACCAGAGGTCCTCGCCTGGGCATATGTTTTCTGATATTTTCTGAAATAACCTCTACTAACCACATGCAGTCCTGCTCCATCTATTTCTGTATCTCTTAACTTCCAGATTGTCTAGACTTAAAATATAGCTAGGACATTGGGCAGGGAAAATAAACTGAATTACAGTATTTTTTATTTCTCTGAAACACCTAATACATGCATAGTCATTTTTTTAGCAGACAAGGTCACTTTCAGACCCTTCTCTTTCGGGAAGAGGCTTTTGCCTTCTGATTTTATGTGTGGGCATTGCAGGATTTGGAGGAAAAGGTTTGGTAAAGTTATAAGATAGCAAGAAGTGATAGTTGAACTGTATAGTTACAAAGAACTTCGGTCTTAATGCATGTGATTGGCATGTTAGTGTTACTCGTGTGATGTTGGCTGAGTCCTTATTGGTCTTTGAGCCTTGATTTTTTTTTTTTTAATCTGCAAACTCAGAAAGAAGAATTAAATTATCTTTCAGCTCCTTTGAAGGCATCTGAGTCTGCCTCTCACTCCACATTTGCAGTTGGGGGCCCGTCTCATCCGGAGACACCAGCTACTCTCCGTAGACCTGCCCAGCCCTGCCCTGATCACTGGCTCTCGGATGAACCCCAGGAACATAGCTGAGAGTGGGTGCTGCAGGGCCTGCTCCATGCCTCCTCACCCATGGTGTCAGGTTGCTCTTACCTGTTTCTAGGTCTGGCCTCCAGAACCAGTTTGGAGCCCCTGGAGAATGAAGGCAGAGTCCCTTTTGACTCTCCATTCTAACTACAATATGTAAACCTAAAACCAACTCCATGGGAGTAATGTATACACACAGAGTTGATTACATTAACGATTATGCTTTCAGAGAAGTCTTCACCAGTGTGTGTTACAGCCCCACAGCATCAGGCAAAGTGTGGGGCTTAGGTAGCTGTTTTCACTGTCCTGGGACCTAACTCCTTTTTAAAAATATCTTTTTATTGACTTTAGGGAGGATACTCACCCTGTCTGTCAGTTTTCTTCTTTGTGAAATAAGGTTGATGACATGACCTTGAAATACTATCCTGGATTAGATGGAATAGCACATACAAAATGCCTCCCACAAGAAGAGATGGAGGAAAGGTAGCCATCATTAGTAGACTCATATTTGTGTTATAAAAAGAAAATTTGGGTGCAGGTATTTATTTTTAAAAACACCTTTTATATTGGTTATGTGTGGGTTGGAAACATCACGAGCAGGCATGAATTAACATGGTTTTTCCTTTTAATTAAGAATAAATCAATGACATAGTGGGATGTGTGATTTCTTCCAAAGGGAACATGCCACAATCAATAGCATTTTTAATTTGAGGGAAGCACAGAGTTGGAATCAAAGCCGGGGTGGAGTCAGAGAGGGCGCTTGACTGGAAACGGCCGGGGCAGCATCTAGGGTAGACACCTGCTGTTGGGCTCTGTGGGTATGCTGGGGCCTGCCGGGGGCATCAGTGAAGCCCCGTCCACCAAGTCCCAGGCGTTTACATTTCAGTGTAAATCCCAACGGAGAGGTGGCAACAGTGACGGAAACAAAGCATTTATTTCTATTTGTGACTTAAACAGCCACATTACCACTAATTAATACTAAATTAACGGTCTTTGTTCTTAGCTCTGTGTTAGCCAGATTATTTCCACTTGACCCTACTTGATAGAATTTCACTGTTTAATGGAGCTGACACTGACACAGGCTGGTACAGATGTAGAAAAACTAGATAAATACAATAATAAGTGAGTATTAATAAATGTTCAATAAACACGGGGTAGCAAAAAGCCAGTTTGCAATGAACAGTGGTGTGGGACAAAGAGGAGAAAATGGAAAGCAAAGACAGACTGAAGAGTCTCTCAGCCACGCCTTTGAGATGTGACCTCAGGACCTGAGTCTGCTCCAGGTCAATGCTGAGGCTCACGTTGCAGACTGACATTCACGGTGGCCCCTCTGTGTTCTATTAACTACATTTTTTCCTTTAAAAACTTTTCCCTATTAACTAACCCCAGATTCCTCTGAAAGTGGAGCAGGCTCCCAAAGCTCTCTCCCCGTTTTCTCAACAGGAGCTGGAATGTTCTGACTTTTGGGTAATTCCTTGATTCTGAAGCTGTGATTGCTGTTCAGTCACAGAGATCCGTGGGAAGGGTGAATGTTACGCAGGCTTTTCCATTTCAGTCACGCAGCAAAGGGGAAAAGCTTTCTCAGAGACCCCCTGTGCCTGGGGTGGGGACTACGCTACCTCCCAACATTCTTCCCTTCTTCTGTGACAGAATTCCCCATGTTCCCTGGGCACCTGTTCACCCAGAGTAAGGACTACATCAAGTTCCTTCCTTCCCACCCGCCTCCAATAGCAATTCCTCGGACCTCAGCGTCAGAACCGTATGGGAAAGTCCTGCCTGTGGGCGGTGCAGGGAACATGGGCGGCCACACATTTAGCCACCCAGGGGGCAGGTGGCTGCAATAGTGAAGCCATGCGAGCGGCGGGAGGATGTGATGAAGCCGGGCTGCCCTCCGGTGCCGGCTCTGGCTCCAGCCGGCACTGTGCTTGCTCCCTTTGTGGGCCCGGCGTTGGTGAACAGCCCGCCGGGCTGGGAGGGGCTGCCCGCTCGGTGGCCCCGGCGCGGGTCCTGGGAGCCCGTTCGTCCTCAGGTGGCGCCTGACGGCCCGCGCCTCTCAGGGAACAGCCTTCTGTCCGCGTCAGCCGGGCGCCCACGTCCCTTCTCCCTCCGTCATCCTCCCTTCCTCGTCTTTGTGCTGCAGTGTGTGGGCCTCCTGCAGAGACCGCGCCTCCGGGTGCAGGAGCCGGACCCGGAGCGGCCGCGCCCGCCATGGAGCTGTACGGGAAGGTGAGCGAGGGCCCCGGGGTTCCGCGGGCAGCGCCTTCGGACCGGTGTGTGTGTGTGTGTGTGTGTGTGTGTGTGTGTGTACGCCTGAGCGTCGTGTGCATGCATGTGACAGTGCGCGCGCGCGTGTGCCTGTGTGTGCACGCGCGTCCGTGTGAGGGTGTGTCCCTGTGAGCGGGTGCGCGCGTACGTGTGTCAATGTGAGTGCGTGTGAGCGGGTGTGTGTGCGCGCGATTGTGCGGGCGCCCACTTTGCTCTTGTGAATGCTGCCCGTCGTATTCTCCCCGCGTTTTGGGGTGACAGTATGACTCCAGCCCCCTTGTCTGTGGAATGAACTTTCTGGATCGGGGCGGCAGGTGCAGGGCGGAGAGTGGGACCCGCGCGGGCGTCCAGCGGTCCTGGGTGTTGCTGTTGGTCTTCAGCACCGGGCAGCGCCCCTATCGGGAATACAGTGGAACCAGAAGCCTGCTGTGAGCCGAGGTGGGGTCACGGTCGCCTGCACGGGGGTTGGTGGAGGTGGAGGACGGGCGGCCGGGCTGAACCCGGTCCCTGCAGAAATAACGGGCCGAGCGGCCGTGGGCGGCGGCGGTCCGGCCGCTGAATCGCCCGGAGTCATAGTTCCAGGCTCTCAGGCTCCAGGACACACCCGGGGCTCGGACTACAACTCCCAGGAGCACCCGCGCCGGGCGGGAGTGCGCATGCGCCCAGGAGGGGACAGCGCCGGTGCTGATCTCGGGCGGGTCGGCGGACCCGGAGCGGAGCGGGGAGCGCGTGCCCGGCCAGCGCCGTCGTCCCCGCGAGCGAGGACCGAGAACAATGAGGCACGAAGCTCCGGTGCAGGTGGGTCTGGGCGGAGCGGGCGGCCTCGGAGGGACTGACCGGGAGTGCTCGGCCAGGCGACTCGGTGCGCGGGCAGACGGTCCCGGCGCCGCGGGCTGTGCGGGCTGGGGCTCCGCAGGGACCCGAGCGCGCCCGTGAGCCGGGAGCCGTGAGCCGTGAGCCGGGAGCCGGGAGCCGGGAGCCGGGAGCCGGGAACCGGGAGCCGCAGCTCGGGGCGCGGGGCGTGTCACCGTCTCCTCGGGCCTGTGGCCGCGGGGCGCGCACGGGCTTCGGACCAGCGGGCGCCCAGCGGTCCCGGCCGAGCGCCTCGGGGAGCCGGAAGGAGGAGGGGCGGCGTGTGCTGGTCCGCGGCCCGCCCTCCGTCAGGGCCCGCACAGCCTCCCAGCACGGGGGCGGGGGCGGGGGGTGCGGGTTGGGGAAGGGCGCGTAGGGCTTGACGTCCCCGAGAGGCTCTTGCCCTCTTACCCAGGCTGGCTCATCCCTGCCCTTCACCTCTGACCCCGGCAGGTTCACCTTTGACTGGGCAGGTTCAGCCCTGCCCTTCACCTCTGACCCTCCTCCTGCCCTCAAGCCCCTGCTTAGGGTTCTCTCCTGCCCTCAAGCCCCTGCTTCCCCCCAGCGCTGGTCCCCGTCCCTCCCCCTGGGGTCGCTTCCCTGGCCTCAGGGCCTGAGCATCGCGATTACATTTATTTTCAAGTGAAGACGGTGAAAAGTGAACGGGCATCGGCCTGTTTCCCCGCCGCGCGCAGCAGAAAGGCCCGGGGATGGGGTTGCAGGAGAGTGGGGCTCTCCATTTGCCCCTGCTGTCCCTCCTAGGACCCACCTCTGCTGCCACATCCAACAGTATAAATACTTGACCGTAATTCCTGCTTAAACGTTTTCCACTGATACTCTTCATGAATCAAGGGCGTTGAGCATATGCCTCTGTTTGCCTTTCATCCATTTTGTAGGCCATGTGCATTAAGGTAGACAGTGATTGGGTTGTTAATGAAAAATCCAGTCTGTAGGATCTCTTTGTTGAAGGGCTATGTGATGGAAGCCCTCCAGTTGCCTTGTGAGTTACTGGAAATCTGATTTGTTCCCGAGGACCGGAGCCCCATTGTGTGTTTCCTGTCACTCTGCTTGTGACTTGGCTTTTCATTATGAACTGATGTGAAAACAATCTGAACAGACAATAAAGGGACAGGCGGTGGTAATCAGGATGTATTGGCTTATGATAATCTGCCCTTGCTGGCAATCCTGCCAGGAGCTAACTGGCTCAATTAGTTGTATTTGGTTAGAAGTAAACATTGACAATGAAGTTTGCAAGTAGATGGGTAGTAGTTAAGTCAACCCCCTATATGCACTTAAGTCAAAATAAATTATGAAAACACACTGCATCTTGATTTTTATTTTGTACAAGAGTTGCTTAGAATCTTTAGAGGGTCACTAAAATGTTACAAAATTGAATGAAATTAATGCCTTAGGAAATATTTTAAATTATTTCATATAACTAGATAGTAGGCACTGAAATGAAGAATTAATATAAAAATAGGTGATGAAATAAATTTGAACGCAATTATTTTCAAATTTATGATATACTTTATTCATTGGACTAGATTTTTGAGATTTAAAAAATTAAATGCCCCAAACTATCATGAATAATATGGACATTTTAAGAAATAAAAATCTAATTTTCTGTAATATATTTATTTAAAGCACATTCATTGATTCAATTGAACAAGTTAATTGTTGTTTTGGGTGGCCAAAACATTATAATCAGGTTTTCAAACATAATGATAGGAAGAATAAAACCTATAAACATGCTTTATATTTCTTAAGTGCCAATAACATCTCAGCACCATACTTCTGAAGCACAATCCTATTCTGGGAGACTTTGCTATATGAAAATGCAATGAGATAAATAGTTGACATTTCTTTTTCTTTTCTTTTAAAACTGAATAAACTACATCATTATTTTAAATATATGTCCCAATTTTTACTTAGGTTTCTGGAATATGAGTAACAAGCAAAATTTCATCCGATGACTATATTATCTTAAGATTCTTTTCAGCAGTTAAAAAGATTTAGTTTGTTTATTGATGTGGAACAAAATGAGCTCTTTAATTCTTGATTTCCTATTTTACTTGTTTATTTTCTTAAATAAAAGAAGCCTTGGAAAATTATATAAGGTCTTTTAAAGGTGTTCTATTCAAGGTAGTTGTTTTTGACATAGGCATATATTTTTAAAACTATTGCTCTTTGAGTTGATACAAAGTGATGGATAATAATTGTTTTTTATAGTGACTATTAAAATAATGTACAGTGATAATAGTTGGCACCTGTATTTCCTTCATAACTAAATAACCAGGAGTTGCACTAGTTAAGTGTTCCAAGTGATGGGCTTGCATGTCAGTGCAGGAGATGGTCAGTGTGTGCCTGCTGCTTCAGTGCCTGCACCAATCTGGAGACCGAGTGCCCTGGGCAGGAGCAGCGGTCATGAGGCAAAGACTGATGGACAAACTGTCATTTGACTCAGGAGCCGACCAAACAAATTCCAGTTTATTGAGAGCTCTGTCTGCAACAAGCACCACTGTGTCTTGCATTCAGATCGCGGGGTGTGTGTGTGTAAATATAAAACAGTCCTAGAGGTGACTGTTTCTCATTACAGCCACAATACTACAGCTTATTAAGAATGAAGAACTTTCCCAACATGGTGGGTTCGAGACTCTGCCAGAGCTCTGTCTAGAGAGCCCAGGCTCTTCCTTGTGGTTTTGGGCTCCCCAAGAAGATGCGGAAGAGGATTGTGCAGAATGAGGGCTCTATTGATGTAAATTAACCCCTTCGTTCGATTCAGAAGGAAGAAGAATTGTCTCTATGTTCTGTTTATAAAATAAACACGTATGAAGTAAACCAAACATTTCAGAAGGGCTAGTGTTGTAAAACGGCTGGTTTTTGCTTCCTGATTTTAATTTCCTGCAGGTTTGCTTACTCTCTCACAGGACCAAGTGGGATAGATCCATCGTCTGTCATTAAATGCTTAGTGTTCAGTTTTGTTATCCACAAGCTTTTTAGGTCATCTCATCAATGCAGAGTCTTCTGACTATTTGGCAAATTTCAAAGGAAAACATCTACCCAATGTATGAAGCAGGGTGTCAAGACAAAATAAAAATAAAAGAGGTTGTTTGACTAAAAATGAGAAGGATTGAAGAAAGAATATAGATGCAGGCTGAAGATGAAGTTGAGGTGAAAAGCCATACTCGCTATTAAACATAGTCATACTGTATAGGAACAGTCATTGTTTCATTTGACCATGAAAAGGACATAGCACTCTTGCAGTTCATTACTGTTGAACTTCTGATCCTGTCTAACTTCAATGATGATCCCTTTATCTTTATAAGAAATGGAAATTTAGTTCCCATCCCTTACAGAAATGGAGAAAAACCTGGTTGACATTGGAGAAATGGTCCTCCTCCATTTGAGCAAATTTCTTAAGTGCCCACCTTTCCGCTGTGAGTATAGAAAGGGGGGTTAGCCTCTATGGTGTGAAAATGACTTTCCAGTTCCATGTTTCAGTCCAAGAAGGTGTGGATTCATTACATGTGTGACCACAACTTCCCTGCCATTTTAAGCTTATACTGGAACTAGAAATTCCTTTCCTCACCGTCATATTCCAGGAAGGAACGATATTTTCATGCTCAGGGATGGGTTTTCCTGTGATTGTTCTGACACCAAGGACACTCAGCTTACTCTTTATCAACAGTTGTGCCACCTGAAATAAATGCTGTGGGGGTTAAACATTTCCCCCTTTTCATTCGCTAACTGGGTTCCAAGGTTCTAGAGCAGGGGTGAGGAATGTCTGGCATGCAGGCCATATGAGGCTGGTGAACTCATTTGGTCTGGCCCTGCCAAGACATTAGGGATGAGTTAATTAAATGTTTGACCAGCTATAGCAGCTAATTTTAAGTTGACAATTCTGTATGGCCTGTGAATGATGTTATAAATATCTGATTGGCTCTTGGCAGAAGGAATGTTCCCCATTCCCGGGCTAGAGGTACCATTGTAGTGGGTCACTGTTTACTGCCAAGGATGCTGTGTCTGTGAAGATCACATCGTTAAGATTCATTTTGAATGACATAGACCTTCAGCATTTCTCATTTGTTCATTTATATTTTTTGAGATATTCATATACATTGAAATGCAAAAATCTTTTGTGAGCACTTTGATGAACTTTGGTAAATGGATATACCTTTGTACTATACACTACTCTAAATATATAGGACATCTCCAACCAACCCCCACACTTTCTTCATTTATGTTCTTTTTCCAGCTAATCCACTAACACAATAGTCTTAGCTTTTTTCACTTAAATCAGTTCTATTGTAGAACTTTAAGTAGTTCTATAAAATATGCAATATCAAAATACTGTACAACATACAGCAGGCACTCTCAAGTCCAGCTTATTTTGCTCAGAGTAGAGTCTTGAGGATCCAATATTGTTGCATTTATCAATAATTCACTACAGTCCATTGATGTGTATAATACAGTTATATCAATCTGCCATACTCTTTCAATCAATTCTGTCAATGGACTTGAGGTAATTTCCCATTTGAAGCTATTATGATGAAGACTGTAAACATTATTGCATTGGTCTTTCTATAACACGAGATTTACATATAACTTGGGTAAATGCCTAGAAGTGGAATTGCTGGTGTCAAAGGTAAGTGCATGTTCAACGGTATAAGGACCAGTGAAACCTGGAACCCTGTGTATCTTGCTTGACCTTCCCGTTTGACTTTCCCACCAGCAACGTGAACATTCCAGTGGCCCCACAGCCTCGACAGTGTTGGCAGTGTCAGTGGCCTTTCTAATGTCAGCCCCCTCATGGTGCTCTGTGGTGTCCCCCTGTGACATGAATTTGCATTTTCTTGATGACGAGTGACGCTTTGCATATTTCCATCTGTTTCCTGGCCATCAGTATGTCTCCCTTTCTGACATATCTGTTCAGCCTTTTGTCTGTGTCAGGCTGTCTTTTTATTGTTTAGTGGCAAGAGAGCTTTATAATTTTGAAATTAGTTCTTTAAGTATATTTAAAATATTTTCTGCCAGTGTGTAGTTTGAATATTCATACTCTTAATATATTTGTATGAGTTTACCACCCAAAGTCAAATCTTGGACGGAATCTTTATAGCAAATCTCTGGAGACATTTTTTGAGAGCTTAAATATTTAAAAATAACACTTAATATTTTTAAAGTATTGAATGATGACTTTTTCTTGGGAAACACATGTACTAATATTAAAATTTGGTTTCCCCTCAGTGGGAATTTTTAGAGTATTTCACAAGGTGTTTTTGAGGGAGGTTTTCCTTATATGAATAGTGTCCTTATATGAATATGAATAGCTGGGTGTGTCCATTATGTCTCCTTCTTACTTGTTATCTGGAAGGGACTCTTGCGAGAGACATTCTTCATCTCTCGGTTCCAGTTGGATGCAGCACTGCAGCTCCGGTGCTTTCTCATGGTGCATGGGAAGCAGAGTACAGCTGTGTTATTTTCAAAATGACTGATGAAGAAGGTCAAGGCCACCTTCCACAGCTGGCTGAGCAGGACCCCGCTCTGCTCTGAGGACATGCTGTCTGCCCTAGCTGGTATGACTCAGCAGATAGAGCATCAGCCTGTGGACTAAAGGGTCCCGGGTTTGATTCTAGTCAAGGGCACATGCCCTGGTTACAGACTCAGTCCCCAATAGTAGGTGTGCAGGAGGCAGTCAATCAATGATTCTTTTTCTTCATGGATGTTCCTCTCTCCTTCTCCCTTCCTCTCTGAAATTAATTTTTTTAAAAGGAAGGACACAGTGCCTTCTTCTTACTAGGTGGACCTGCTCATATCTGACAGGGAGTTACAAGGGGTCACATCACAGCCGAGCCCTCAGTGGGCCCAGCCTCTCCCCGGTGGGGGTGGGGTGGGGGAGAGTTTCCAGAACTCAGCTTGTCTGGGCAGCGGGCATCCAGTGTGCAGACCTTTTGCAAAGCTCAGCGCCCAGGGTGAAGGATTTGCACCAAGATGGCCAATTCCTCAGAGAAGACCTCCACTGTAGAGGTCGCATGCATGAATGTACACATTCAACACCATAATAAATTCATTGTTTTGTCTTCTATCTGATTTGCATTTTGATCAGGGTCTTCAATGAATACATTAAATTCATATTGACCAAACTTATAAATGACACAAATATGGAATGGATAACTATTTTTTATGAAAGGACATAAAATGATCATATCTGAATTAAATCACAGATCAAAGCAAATAAAAGAAAACGTAATAGGGTCAATATAAAGATTGACATTTCTATTAAAAATAAATTGCCCAAGGATGGGCCTGATGGGGGAGACCTGTGTGTGTGACAATTTATGTGAAAAGTACTGAGTCTTTCAGAAATCTACAATCAGTAACGTGTGTTAGGACATAGCGGCACACTTTCCCCTGTGCCAACCACACGCGGGGCTTCGACCCCGGAGAGATGTCCGTGTGAGCCTCGCCGCTGGGACCACCCAGCAGGAGCAGGTGACACTTTGGGGCCGTGTTGGCCCCTGAGACACCAGGGGTCCCTCTGATGGGAGAGGAACCGCCGGCAGAATTTAGAACACAAGGGCAGGAGCTACAGGAGGGAATTGTCACCAAAATCCTAGAAAGAAATGTATAGTATTGCAGTTGTTTAGCCATGACAGGCTGCTCCAGAGCCTGGCTCCCTTCTGCCCCCTCCCCCCCGTGGGAAGGGCAGGGCAGGGTCTCCTGAGCCTGGGTGCTGGGAAGGGGGCTGGGGTGAGGGAAGTGGCACTGCCCTCAAGACTTGTTTTACTCTGTGGTGCTTTTGTTGGAAATCAATTCAAGATGGATGGAATTTAAAGAGTTATCTTCTCTATATCCTTTATGAAATCCAGTTTGCTCTGTGGGAGGTTACTTCATGCCTATTCATGTTTCCAGATTTCAACTCTATTTTTCCACGAAAATGTGGAAAAGGTCCGCATGAGTTGGTGTGTAGGGCGTCAGTAAACTCGCTCAGTGAGTGCCTGTGATTCCCTCTGTTCCCGTCAAACTGCCTCGTCTCTGTCCTCAGCAAGGCGCCAGCCTCCGTCCACCCTCTGAGCCAGGATTTACTTTATTTCAAAGTTTAATAACATGCGTGCATTTCCATGCACAACTTCTCGGCTCGTAAGTCTTATTGGGGATATAAACAAGGAAATAGTAACAAAAAATCTTCCAGAATAGTGGTTAGCAAACTCCTCTCATTAACCCTTCAGAGGCTCAGGGTCCCCATTCCCGCAGCTCTGCCTCTTCTGCCTGAGCCCTCTGTGCCCACCCTCCTCCCTGCTCCCAGCACAGAGCATTAGCAGCGCAGGATGAACAGCGCAATTTCTGTCCTGGGAGAGGTGGTATCTGTTCTCACTGTGCCTGACTGCACATGGCCAACCCCGAACCAAGATCTGGGCTGGTTTCCATAGAGATGGTGACAGGCTCCCAAAGAGGCACTGGCAGGCTGGCTGAGCTCTGCAGCTGCATGAGGTTCGAGTTCCCTGCTGGGAGGACATCGGCAGGAATGTGCTTGGCAACAGCCCCCAGGTGGTCTGGGTGCCAGGGGCCTCAGAGCCACACCCCTGGCTCGCCAGACGTCAGGGTTACATCCCGGGTTTGCCCTGAGCCAGAAAGGGAAGTAGGGGCACCTGCTCTTTAGTGGCCAGGCCTTCCCTCTGGCCAACGCTGTGCAGTCGTAGTGACTGGAAACCTCTATGTGGTTACTTAGGAAGCGAGTGTGAGTGCAACCAGCATGCTATATGTCTGCTGGCTTTCCTTTGTCCTTGTTCACACACACACACACAATTGTGATCTCTTACTGGCAGTGTTTGTCGAAAGGGAATATGTTATCTCACCGTCTCCCTTTCTCCAATGTCTGTAAGCACACACACAGGCACAGGCACACACACACACACACACACACACACACACACACACATTCGTGCACACATCATACACCTGACCACAACAACCTTGGTGTGGGAGAGGCTGAGCACTCGGTTCTGTTTCTAGTGTCTGCCCCCTGTCCGCTGGCCTCTCTCTTTGCCACCCCCCTCAGCCCTCAGGAAGCTGTAATGTTGATCCGATTCTGTGGGAAATGGAAAGGACGGTGTGGCCTTGCTCTGCCCTGAGGACTCTGTCCTGAGGACTGTGCTGGTGCCTGCCTGTCCAGTGCAGTGACCATGGGAGCCTGTGACGTGTGGCAGAGGCCTTGATGCTTATTTCATTCCATTTCACTGACATATAAAAGGCGCTGGTGACCAGTAGTGATCGCTGGAGAATTCGTGACATCAGAAAAGGGGCAGGAAGTCTATGTGACTCGGTGTTCCACAAGCCTCTTCTGTGTGAGCCCGATGGCACAGGGAAGGAAGGCTGCTTGGTTTCCGGGGATGTTAGGACGATCATTAAAAAGAAAGAGAAGTCACAGCCTCTGAGAGGCACGTGTGATTAACACAGAGCATTCTCCATGCTGGGCCATGCCCTGCACGTCTGCTCTACACCAGCATGACTTTCCCACGTGTCCCGGGTGAGGTCACAATTTCTTCCATTTCATGCGAGAGGGAAGTGAGGTGCAGATTTACAATAACAAACGGGGCACGCAGGCAGAGGGTGGCGGGCGAGGCCTGATCCAGTGGGGTTCCTCTCAATGCCCCTCCCAGAGCATGGCCTCCCCCTCCGTCTTTCCCAGTGACAGACAGGACGGAGGGCCTGCTGCACGCCTCCGGGATGTGTCAGGGAAACAGCGCACTGTTCCATGCTGCTGAGCCTCCAGCCCTCCTTTTAATGCGGGGACAACGAGGCCCCCCCCCCCCCCCCCCTGCGCAGTCGTGAGGGTAAAGGAATGATGGCTCCCGGCACGTTGTGTGAACCATATGTGCTTGCATGTCATTGTTCTCAATTTGGGAGAGCTGCTGTGTGTTCGGCCGCTGTTGTAATGCAACAGGAATAGAGGAAACAGATGCCTGGGGTGTGCTTGCCCCGGAGGCCGGACCCTCTAGTCATTGGTCCTCGGGAAGCAGCATCGTGGTGCTGCCTTCTCCGGGGAGGAGTTGGCGGGGGGAGCCCACATGCCCAGCCGTCCTCACATCTTTGCTTCTCATGTCGCCCATGGGTGTCCCCTTGGTGCTTGGGTCGGCTGAGTGCCTAGCGGGACCAGCGCCAGAGCAGAGGGGCGGCTGTGGGCCTGCCCCACCTTGCAGGGCACCGAGGGCCATGGACACGCCTCAGGGACAGAGCCACTGCCCGCCCCCAGGGCCTGACATCTGCTCCCCGCCCACGAGCGGGAGCTGCTGCCGTCCACGGTGGGCTGACCCCTCCTGTTCCCCCCAGATGGCCACTGCCCAGGACGCCCGGTCTGGCCAGAAGGACTCCTCGGACCAAAACTTTGATTACATGTTCAAGCTGCTCATCATTGGCAACAGCAGCGTGGGCAAGACCTCCTTCCTGTTCCGCTATGCTGATGACTCCTTCACATCTGCCTTCGTCAGCACCGTGGGCATCGACTTCAAAGTGAAGACCGTGTTCAAGAACGAGAAGAGAATCAAGCTTCAGATCTGGGTAAGTGGCTATGCTGAGTGTGCTCGGTCCTGGGCGTGTGGCACACGTGGGCTCTGGTCCTGGGCGGGCAGCATGTGTGCGGGGAGGGCTCCTGTCGTCTCCACACCATGGCCCAGTCGCAGCGCTTGCTGGGGGCATTGCTTCAGGGCAGGAGCGAAGCCTCAGTGAGGTTTGGAAACGGGGCCTGTCCAAGTTGTGCTTCTCATGAGCCGTCAGAAAAGGAAAACAGGCCTCTCTGTTGGTGGAGGAGTGGTCGGTCTGCTTGGCCTTATGATCCTGTGACCTTGAGCACCTGAATCCTTCCTCACCACCTTTCTAACCCATAAACAGTAAAGTGGGTCTCACCTGTGATGCCACAGGACGCAGGCACACAGCCAAATGCAGGGAAAAGAAATCTGTCCCTTCAAAAAGCTCAGCTACAGCCTCGGACGAGGTCGATTCACACTTCACAGACTCCGTGTGCTCATCCCTAACTTATGTTTGTCCACACAAAGAAAACAAAGCAGGTGGAATAAAGGTTTATTTAAACAGGGTTCCCCTGAGCACAAGGTGCTCCATCAGCTTAGAGACCAGCTGGCCTCCCTGCTCTCCATGATGACCCAGGGATTCGTCACCAAACTGCTGGGGTGAATCAGAGTGGCCAGGGAGAGACAGAGATATGCAGGAGGGCTTCGAGGTCAAGGTCAGGTGGGAGATGAGGAACCAGAAACGTGGCTGCACAGGGAGAACTGCCTCAGATTCACATCTATGAGGTCAATAGGCCACTGGTCGACCATTCCCATGAGTTCAGGCCCCTTTTCCTGTCTCTGATCTTCAGCTGTGAATGTTGATTTGAGCTGCAAACAGGCTTTTCCATGAGGGAGGTTTCTTCTGAGCCAGTTCTGACACCACGTGGGGCAGGTGCCGGGCTGGCTCGACCCAGGGTGAGCCTTGCTGCTTGCACAGAGCAGAGAGACAGGCCGAGGCAGAGCGCCCTAATGCTCATGTCAGTGACACTGGGTGCCCTTCCACAGCTCAGCTCGGTGCACAGACCGGCGTCCTCACAGGTGTCTGCAGTAATTCCTGCTCTTCCACTTGTCTAAAGGTCTTCCCAGCCCAGCTGCAGTCAGGTGAGCCCGGAGCAGTGCTGTGCCCGTGGCTTTGTCATGAGAAGTCTCCTCGCAGGCGTGCCCTTTTATAAGGCGTGTTCCAGGTGCCGAGGAAAGTATGGCCATCCCTGCCCAGGCTTGTGTGGGCAGCCATGTGTGCATGTGGCCACACTTTGTGCAGGTGGCCACAATATGTGCAGGTAGCCACGCTGTGTGCAGGTGACTATGCTGTGTAGCTCCCTTTGCCCAGGAAAGCAGGAGTCTGCATTGTTCACATCCAGAAGTGGGTGCTAGCTCTGACTAATGGGAGGCTGGTTTAGAGCTCACAGGGTGAAGTGCATGGAGCAGGTAGGCAGTGGGTTTATGTGTCCTAAAGAGTCATCATGAGCATTTTCTCATTGTTGTGTCATTTTCCTCATCAGCACTCTTCCTGCCTTCACTCCTGAGCTCTGGCTGAGCTCATAGGAGCCTGTCCTCGAGTGGTCAGGGCCATGGCTGCCACCCACAGGGCCCGGGCTGAGCCATGCTGGTCTGTTATCCACTGTGTGTTCCTGGCCACCAGCTCCCCCACCACATGATATGCGGGAGCTGTGTCACCATCGGGTGCAGGAGGCGGACGTGAACCGAGAAGAAGAGGGAGTTTTAAAATTGAGGCTCTGGTGTTACTTAAGGGTGGTCAGGCCTACAGGTCAGCAGACAGCTGCCACCCACACATTGTGTTGTACTCACAGATCCCAAGCCAATCCCCGGGAGGATCAGGAGCAGAGGGAGACAGCCTGTGGCAGGAGCTGTGGAAGTGTCAGGAGTCTTCCCATTCTTAAGAAGAGACTGCATGGCAGAGAAAAGTAGGGGAGTTCTTTGGGAATTTCGGCGTGAAGGAGATAAGGCAGTGTGTGCTCTCAGCCCCTGTACTGCAGGAACCCTGCATGTGGACACCGAGGTGACTAGTTAGGGTGTTCCCCCTACCTTCTTGTGTTGTCCAGACAGATCCCTGTTTCTAATAACATTTCCTGGGCTCCTCTCACTGGAATTAGCAGGGCTTTTCCTATTTTTACCCGCATAAGCGAGCGAGGAGGTAAAGTCTGACAGGCGGGAAAGTGTCTGCGTAGTTCCGGTGCATCCGATGACTTGTGAGCTCAGCTTCCACCTCTCCATGTACTGAAGGTCCACTATCCCCTCCTCATCATGACCCTGGGTTCAACTCCAGATCACACATTATCAGCTCATACCCCAAGGCTACTGTCTGACTCAGCTTCTCACAACTCGTCCTGTTACACCTACCACTTCCCAGGAGAGCACTGATTTGTGGGAAATAAGAGTCTTGCTTTGTCAGGGAAAACACTTTGATGTAGATGACAATTGATGGTTGTTGTCTTAATTAACCTTATAATCTGAATCAGCCTTCACAATTTGATAACATTATAGCCAATGCAACTTGCATTCCAATTTTTATGAATTAATGAAATAGAAGAACAATTTCTGAAGACAACGTGGAGAGAAAAAAAGATTAGACTTTACTTGGGCCCTAAAAACAGCCATAGGCATCACCAGCAGCACCGAGTGGGGGTGTCCTGCACCCTGAGGCCATGGGAAGGCCTCTGTGTAGGAATCACATGGGTTTCAGAGCATGGAGGTCTTCGAGGACAGGACTTCCATCACCTGCTAGTGGACCCTCCCCTTACCCGTACCTGGGAACCTAAGATTCCAACGAGACAGGCGGCAGGTCCTGCTTGTATGTAACTGGTAATTAGCTGGTCAGACGGACCGCTGGTCAACCTGCACATTTCCGTTTGCAAATTTAGGCAAATTGCTCCCAGGAGAAAACATGCACACAAGTGCCTGATTGGGCTCCAGGTGGACACAGGGCTGAACATCCTGATTACCCAGCTTCCAGGCATTCAGGGCCTCCTGAGGGCCCTCCTTAGCCGCCCACGTATGACCTGGCTCCTGAAAGCCTTCCTGCTCCCGTTCATCACCTTCTCGGTTCACGTCACTGCTGCCGCTCGTGTATATTCCGGGGCGTCGAAGACACCAGAGCGAGTTTCCTGGGGGACGAGAGCAATGAAGTCAACACTGGTGTCAACCGTGTCCTTGGTTGTCAAGAGCACAGCACCAGGAGGGTGGAGGACGCTGGACCTCCACGCACTGCTTTCCTGGCTCCTCTGTAAGTGTCCCCTGGAGCAGAGCTCAGCTTCCTCCACAGGAGGGTGTGTGACACAGGAGCAGCACCCGCTCTCCTCCTCCTGGTCGCAATGCCTTGAATTTGATGGGCTGCGTATTGTACCCTCGTGGGCACAGTATGGCTGGTGACTAGACTTAACTCTGTTAAAGAAACCACCAGAGTGAGTGTAGGAAGTGCAGTTAAAACTCAGTTAAAAAGGCAGCTGTGTCGTGAAGTTGAAGGGCCAGGAGCCCTGGGGGTGGAGCGCCCAGCCTGGATGGAGCCCTGGGCGCAGCCTGTGAGTGCTATCGTCCTCCGTGAGCTAGCGCCTGAGACTGAACGCCCGGCCCCATGGAGGTCTGGTATCTGTGACTTCGTCACGTGCAGGCTCAGCAGATCAGCCGTGTAGAACCAGTGCTAGGGTGGCAGCCAGAGCTTCCCTCAAGCAAATGTCACGTGGGGCTGGAACAGGTGCCCGGCTCAACACCAGCCCTGTTATTCAGCATTACGTGCTGTTCCCATTTTGTAGAGGGAAGCTGAGGGACATGGATCCCAGCTGTATCCCTCCGGTCGCAGGCAGAGCTGGAATGGGACACTGGCAGCCTGTGCTCAGTCACCACTGCCCCTGGACCCCCCAGCGCTGGTCAGGGAGGCCCAGAAGCCTTAGCATCAATAAGGTAAACAGTGATTCTATTCCCCATCTCCGGTTTGGAAATATTGAAAGAATGGCCCTAAGAATAATAGTTAGCCCTTCCCATGAGTTTCAAGGAAACTGTTATTCATGAGGTTTCTCGAGGAAAACCTGTCAGCAGTGTCATCTTCACTAGTAACCCATCCTCACCAAGAACTCAGAGTGAGTGGGCCAACCTCACTCGGGGAATACCTGAGCCCACACTGGCTGCAGGGCCCACACCAGCTGTAGGACCCACATCTGCCCATAGGGCCCACATGGCTGCAGGAATCTCGGACCCCAGCCTGTGGCAGGTAGAGGCCCAAGGGTGTGGGCAGAGTTGGTGGCTGGCCAGGACTATAGAGATGTTACCAGCATTGCTGGTAACACTACAAATTAGATTTTCCAGTTTTCAGTTCTCATGCTGCCTGTGATTCAGCATCACATGTGCCTCTTGGGGCTGCAAGAATCACCCCGTCGGGATGAGGGAAGGAAGGAAGTGGCTGGGACCTGGCATGTTGTGGGAGGAAATGCCAAAGGGAAGAGGGAGAGAGACCCGAGGAGCTCCATCAATGAAGGAAGAAGGGGTGAGTGGGGTCTGGATGGTGGGGCTCAGTTGGATGGGCATCCTCTCGTGCACTGAGAGGTCACGGTTTGATTCCAGGTCAGGGCACATGCCCGGGTTGCAGGCTCGATCCCCAACAGGGGATGTGCAAGAGGCAGCTGATTAGTGATTCTCTCTCATCATTGATGTTTCAGTCTCTCATCCCTCTCTAAAGTATATTTTTAAAAAAGGTTAAAGAAGTCCTCAGGACAAGGCCAGGGAAAAGGAGAAAGCAGGACCTGCCAGCCTCTGTCAGGTCACCCCTCTGCAGCCCATCTGGAACCCCGTAAGGGCTGGTGAGTTTGGGCCTCTCCTCTGGACTAGGAGGTGCTCGGCAGGTCACAGGTGATCGGTGACTGTCGCTGGAACTGAGCACATTGCACAGGTGTCTTCCATCCTAGAGGTGGCAGGCCTGGTAGTTCTGCTGAAGGACTTAGCCCTCAGCACTCATTCATTGGTGTTTCTATTTAGATACGG